GGGGAGTGGAAGGTGGAGGGTGTGAGGGAAAGGGGTGGAGGCTGCCTTCAGCACCTACCCAGGCTCCCCGGGAGGTGGTAGATGGGCAGTAGGGATGGTCCCAAGGCCAGGGATGGGGTGTCCGGGCTGGGTGTGGCCATTAGTCTCTCTTCCCTGGTGTACCCCCACCTGTGAACTGTACCCCCCAGGCTGTGTTGGCCAGGAGGTGACTGCTGGGCCTGAGTGCCAGGACTCCTGTCTGGTGCTTTGGGGGATGTCCAGATAGGACCATAGGGTGATGCGGCAGATGGGGGCTGAGGACAAAGGGAGAGAAAGCATAGGACTAAGTAGGGAGGAAGAGTGGGTGCTCCGTCAGCACAGTCCACCAGAAAGGGGGGCTGCTCTGGGGGATGGTGGTGCCTGTGCGTGCGGGGAGAGCTGGATGGGCCCAGTTGGACTGAATAGACTGGGTATGCAGAGGGGGAGAGTCTCTTTGGGTGTCGCTTTGCTGGTGGGCGGGTGACATGTGTGATGTGTGTATGAGGGACCAAGTCTGAATCTGCCCACGGGGTTGTCCGAGGAGGTGGGGGTGGAGGGTTCTGTGGATCTGGGAGGCAGTGGCCACCTCCCGTGGGGGGAGGCTCTCTGGGATTCAGCCTTCACACTTACCCCGCTGCAGCCTCCCCAGGGAACTCACTCATAGGCTGGCCTTCTCTGTACCTCAGTTTCCCTCAGGTGGAATTCTCACAAGTCTGTAAGGCAGGTAACTTTTGTCTGCCCATTTTGCAGATGAGCAAACTGTGGCTCAGAGAAGTTACATAACTTGCCCAAAGTCAATCAGATCCTAGAAAAACAAACAAACAGAAACAAAGTCAATCAGATCTTAAGCAGTGGAGTACTTTTCTCAAGACCCACGACTGCCCACGGCCCCCAGGGACTCTGGATTTTGGCACTGAGGGCAGATCCCAGCCCCACCCAATGCAAGGTGGAAGGCCAAGGGAGACCAAAGGACGTGTCCAGAATACTTGCCCCTGACCAGAAGGAGACGTTGCAAACCCTCTCTCTCCCACCTGGCGTTTCTCCCTGGAGCACTTGTGGCCTCAACCTCGGGGCTGATGGTGGAGACAGTGCGACCTTGAGCCCA